GTAGCTGCGCCCGCGACCCCGCCCGGACGGGAATCCGTGCGGCCGACAACTTCCGACCTCGCGGCGACACCAACAGCGATGAGGACTTGTGACGGGGGGGCAGCAACCCAGCAACGTCGCCCGTGACGCTATTGCTCTTGACGCAGCCGATGGCTATTGAGCTGCCGCCGTTGTGGTTGCTGTCCGGTGTGAAGAGGCGCGTGCTGTGTGCGTCCGTCTTCCCCTTCCCTCGCTCTTGCACCAATGCCGAGACGGTTGGTGGCTCGTCCTTTGCCGCCGTGGATGAGAGCGCGGCCATCGCTGCCGCAGTGTCGCCACCGTGCGCCGGCACGCTCGTCACGAACGGAGATCGCGGCTGCGGCTGCGGCTGCGGCTGCGGCTGCGGCGTCTGCCGCTGCGACATCCCCAGCTGCAAGGAGGAGGAGGAGGAGAAGGAGGGGGGAGCTGCAAACGGCGCCGAGCGCGAGAAGCGGTGTCTGCCCTGCCGCCCACTAGGCCGCCGGCAGGTTGATGTATTGGGCGCGCAGAAGGTCCTTGCGTCAGGGGTATTTGATGGGCCCTGCTGCAGCTTCATCCGCCGCAGAGGGGAGGTGGCGAGGAAGCAAGTAGATAAGAGGAGGAGGGGAGAAAGGCGAAACACTGCGCAGTGAGGCGCACTTCACTAACGGAGAGAGCAATAAAGAGAGAGAAAGAGAGAGAGGAGTGGAAACGCAGCTTGCAGCAGGGTGCGCAGCTACACCGCTGTGATCGAAGCATGACAGAGAGGCGTGCAGAGAGAAAAGGGCAGCGCGAGAGCGGGGAAGCGAAAGGGAGTAAAATGGAAGCAAAGAAGGAGTTGCAACTGGTGGGACGCACGCACAGCGGACGGTTTTGATTAACAGGTGGAGGCTCACGGGGTGGTCATGCTGCCAAGCGGGCAAAGGGGAGGCGCGAGAAAAAAGAAAAGGAAAAAAAAGTCCCAAACACAACACGCCGATCGCACCTCCCACAGAGGCACCGCAGGCAGACACGCACACACACACACACACCATTCCTCTGCCTTCGTGCGGGTGGCTGCACGTCGCCCCCCAATCCCCACTTTCCTCTTCGTACGCCCTTCCTCCCTCGCTCTCTTCTCTCCCCTCGATCCGTTTCGCACTTTTATTTCATTGTTGCACGTGCGTGCGTGTGTGATTATGTCTTGTTTTGTTTTGTTTTTTGGCTTTAATTTATACCCCTCTCGCTCTCCATTTCTCTTTTTCCCTGTAGAACGTCAACGAAAGGGGGAACCGACCCAAACCAAAGACGCGTGTTGCTGGGTGGTGGGTTGAAACTGACCCTCAAGGACGCAAAGAGAAAAGAGAGAAGGAGAAGGAGAAAGAGGAGGAGAAAGACAGTGCGTCCGGCCCCTTCTCCCCTTCACCGCAGTCGAAAGTCCTGGTCGTAGTGGCTTGACTGCCGCTCTCCGTCAAACTCGACGTGCAGGGCGATGTCGAGGTCGCGCGGGTTTCCCTTGTTCGGGCAGCAGCACATGCGGAACTTCGCCCGCTCGCCCTTGTTCATTTGCAGCGGGTTGAAGAGGTACAGCACCGTCTGCCGCCAGTGCGTCGGGGGCGTCAGCGGGGTGGTGGTGAGCACGACCGTCTCGTGGCCGGCGGAGAAGGGGGTGTCGAAGTGCACGCTGATCGCGTCCACGCACCCCGCCCGCGCCGCGACGAGCTCGAAGTCGCTGGTGAACGCGAGCTCCGCCTCCTGCACGGTGTTGATGTCAAAGGAGAAAAGGTTGGCGGTGTTGGTCATGATTTGGCTGCGGTCGACGGTGTCTATGAGGGGCTCAATGTAGCTCAGCCGCTTAAAGTAGGAAAAGTCAAAGCCCTGCACATCGTCCCAGACGTCAAACCGCTCCTGCTTGTACTGCTGGTCGCTGATGCCGCAGACGTACATGTTGGCGCGGTCGGGAAAAAGTTTCACGTCCGGCGTGCCCCAGCGATCACGTGCGTAGAGGACGGTGTTAAGCATCGACTCATACAGCAGGAAGTACCCCATCCACTCGCTAATGATGATGTCCACCTTCTCGTCCAGCTGCAGCTCCTCCACCTTGCCCTGGATGATTGTGATGACGTCCTCAAATCCGTTGTCCTTCACAATCTGACGCGCCTGCACCGCCACGCTGCTGCAGTCAACCCCAATCACCTTGCGGGCGCCCGCCTTCGCGGCAAACATGGAGAGAATGCCGGTGCCGCACCCAACGTCCAGCACCACCTTTCCCTTGAAGAGGTACGCGTTGCGCCAGATAGCGTCGCGGTAGGAGGTGGTGCGGTGGTAATCCTTCAGCATCTCCATGTGAATCCCGTAGTGGCTGTAGGAGTCAAAGTAGTAGTCGCCCGTGCCGGACACCGCCGTGGCCGCAGCCGGCGTCGTTGCGGCTGCCATGGCCCTCTGGGACGCTACCAGCGCCGCTGCTGGGGCTCGCGCAGGTGCCGCGGCAAACAGGGAGGGCGGGCCGCGAACGCGACGCAAAGGCGAAGTGTCCGCAGTCAACTTCGAGGGCCGCCGCTTCCTCAACAGGCGCCGCGTGACGACGTCGTGGGCGAGTTGCAGTATTGTCGTCCCCCGGTCGTGCCCAAACCCGCCGCGGCTCGTTCCGATTTTACGCAAATAAATAAATAAATATTTTACTTCTTAAGCCTCTTCGCAGGCGTCCGCTCGTGTGTGTGTGTGTGTGTGTGTTTGCGTGCTCTTCCGCTGCTGCCGCTTCGCTGCCTGCAACTCTTCTCTTCCTCCTTCGTTCTTTGTTTCCTTCTTGCCGTTCCCCTCCAACCTCATCGCCCCGGTCAGCCGTGCGGCGGCGGCGGCAGGGGGGAAAAAAAAGTGGGCGCGAAAAGACAGTCCGCCTGCGGGTGGGACAAGGCGCACGCGCCGCCGCTTTGCGAGCACACGCAGGAGGAGGTGGAGCCAGTCAGGCACGCGCGCATGCGAATACGGGCACGTGGGCGTGAGAGCGAAAGAAAAGTGCATGCAGGAAATACGCGGGGAGAAAGAGCGACGGACTCCGGGCCCTCCTTTCCCCCTGCAACCTTCTCCAGGCGTGCCGCGGCAACACGCGACACGCTGAAACACGACAAAACAACAAAAAAAATCATGCACGCGTGCGCAGCTGCACAAAAGGCACGAAGAAAAAGGTATTGGGGTAAGAAAAAAAAAAGGGGGGGAGGGGAGAGACAGACACATATAGAGTGGACTTCACCCTGAGGCGGGCCCGAGGGCTCGCTTCATGCGCAGCAGCGTCTCCTCGGCAAAGACGCCGCCGTCGCACCACACCGCCACCGTCTCGCGCACAAATGCGGCGACCGGTGAGTCCCGCGGCGCCGCTCCCGCCAGCGCCTCCACCATCCGTTGCATGTAGGCCTCAAACACGGATATGTACCGCACCGGCGACTCCAACCCCTCGTGCTTCAGCAGCAGCATGTTGGCGATAAACAGCAGCGTCCCGGCCGCCTGCAGCGTCGTGTCCTCTGCGGCGGCATCCACGGCGTTTGCGTCGTGGGCCTCGCCGCGGTGTCGCCTCTCCTTCCGCGCCTCGTGCACACGTGCGTCGCAGAGGTACCAGAGGACGTACAGGAACGCCTCCGTCATGGGGAGGCGCCGCAGCATGAACAGCACGACTCCCTCGATTGCGGCGCCATCGCGGTTGGCGCTGTCCAGCATGTCCAGAAAGGCGGCGAGGTCGCCCTCCGTGCGGAACATGTGCGGCATGTGCGGCCCACGCACCCCACGCGTCGAGGAGAAGCAGTCAAGCAGCGACAGCCACAGCGCCGAGGCTTGGCCGGGCCCTGCCGTGCCCGACGCGCCTGACGCAGCGGCCGGGGCCGCCGCCGCCTGGCCGCCTAGTTGCCCCAACAGTCTGACGTACAGGCGCCGCTCCGCGCTGTCGTCGTCCTGCGCAAAGAGAAATCTGTGCTTGGGATCCGTCACGTGGGCCACGCAGTACTCGGCAAATCCAGGGCTTGTCAGCTGCATGCGCACCACACGCTCCACGAGGTCGCTCTGGGGTCCCATTTCCAGGCCGCTGCTTTTGACGTTGCCGTTACCCTCCGCAACCCCCTCCCTCCCTCCCCGCTTACTTTTAGTTGCAGCTCAAAGCTACACACACACACACAGAGAGAGAGAGAGAGAAGAAAAAAAGGAATAAAGAGCTCTTCACAGGAGCCGCAAATGGAAGCAGCGAAGCGAGAAGGAAGACTGCCCCATCGTCTACTTTCCACCCGGCGGTGAAGAAGGAGCGCGCACAGAGGCCACACAAGGAAAGAGATTCACACAGACATTATATAGGTAGATATGTATATATTTACATATACATGAATGACTAGGCCACCAACAACGCGGCCGCTGCGCCACACTCGCTTGTTGAGAGAAACTCCTCACACCGCCGGAACTTATTCCACTAACAAGATAAACAAGCACACTCACCCGCTTTCTCTCCCTCTCTTGCGGCAACACGAGAGACATTATTGACGCCTCTGGTGGTTCGGGGCATAGAAAAGTTTAAAAAAGGGGGGAAGTGGTAATAATAACAACCACAAAAAAAAATGGGGTGAGAGAGGGGTAAAATAACTGCTTTCTTGCTCTCATCGCCCTTTGTAGAGGTAGAAGCCTCTACGCCTCATTTCGCACTAAAACCGAACAGTCCTTCTTTTTGCGCCTCGGTGGCACTGCCCTGGCCACCGCAGTCACGTCAGAGGCCTTCGCCTTCGCGCTGGAGGCATCCACCAGCACCACGAGTGCGCCCCATGGCAGCTCCTCCGGCTTGCTGCATTGCGCCCTGCGCGTGTTGATAAACGCCTCCAGCCACGGCCTCTGAGAACTGTACACGTAATGCACACGCACGCCGCCCTCAGCAGTTGCAGCAGCATCGCCATCCTCCTCCAGGTCAAAGAACACGTTTCCATTCAGTTTCGCCACCAGCTCGGGTGCCGCATCCGCACTGACGTAGACTGAAACACAGCTGCGCCTCCCCCCGCTCACGTCCGAGTGCATCCCAATACGATGTATGGTGACCTCTGGGTGTGTGGCATGCAGCAGGCGCAAGACGCTCCGTGCGTTGTCGGGTTCTGGTAGCAGTTGATCAAAGATGAGTTTTGTGTAGGGCCCAGAGTGGCGCTGGCAGCGCTCACAGGACGCGCGCACCACATTGTGGGCCTTTCCGCATGAGCGGCACGACCAGAAGCGCGAGTTATGCAGTCCCGTGCTGGGGCTGTCAAGCAGGGCCTGTTCATTGGCGGCGCGCAGGTGGCGAAGGTGGCAGCGGTAGATGACGGGGTACATCTTCTCGTAGTTGAGAAATCGTTCCGTGACATGCAGTAAGTTGTTGTTCCGGCTGCTGAAGGCCACCTCCGCCATGTGCAGCTGCGCCCAGACACGGTGGGAGGCGGTGGAGGACGTCCCCAAGCGCTCCCGCGTGTAGATGGAGCCACAGTTACTGCCAGCGGAGGAAGAGGAGGACACGCCGTTGCAGCTTTTAGCGCTGCCGATGCCCGGCGACGCCACACCCTCCTCTCGGGAGTCGCCATCTGCCTTCGGCCTCCGACGCTGACGGCGGTGGGGACGACGTCGCGAGTGCGGTGGCGCATGCGCCCAGCCCGCATCCCGCCCATTGGAGGAGGAGGAGGAAGCGGCGGCGTCATCGCCCGCGTGGTCGCCCTCAGTCCCCTCGCGTGGCTGCACGCGGAGCCTGTACGTTTTCTCGCGGCCGAGGGCGGCGGGGGCGCCCCAGTCCAGCTGCTCCTCCTCCGCCACCGCCTGCATCGCGGCAAATGAGGCCAGCTGCTGCAGCAGCGTTGGGCCGGGGAAACTCGTGATGGCGGTGCTAAGCTCATCCGACGGCCCAGACCGCGATGACGTGGCGAAGAGCATGAAAAAGAGCGCCATGAGGATAAGGGCGGGGCCCCTGCTTCCGCTCGGCAGCGCCTTCCCCTCAGGCGTGAGGCGGGGACTGCCACGCTGCATCTGTCCCCTCTTGTCTTTTGCGGATGCCTGACAGTGTTCGATGCCGCTCTTCCCTTTTCTTGTTGGTGTTCCGCCTCAGTCTCTTTCTCGTTGCTTCTCCACCTCCTTGCCACGGAGACCTAAGAAGCACCTCTTACTCCCTCCCTCAAGCTAGTGACGTGCCCCTATCCAAAACCTACGCCTGTTGGCTGCGGGAGGCGGTTTTCCTCTCCTCCTTCCTGTGTATGTATATGCGTGTGTGTGTGTGTGTGTGTGT